GAAGTGTTCCTCAAATATTGATTCAACACATTACCTTGGGCTAACCAATTCATTTGATTAAGTTCCTCAAGATATTCATACACTTCCTAGTATAATTGTAAACTTCCTGTTAAATGGTTTGAATGCACCAATCACCTTTGTTGTTTGTGCAACTAACCAATCATAAATAGAAAGGAATTGACCAGAAATGATTAAATACTTGGAATTGGCTCTTTCACAGGAAGTGTATGAATATCTGGAGGAACGTGATGAAATGAGATGCTTGTGTGATGTTACTCTGAGTGTATATCCACACCAGGCAGGCTTGAAAAATATGCCTGGCCACAGTGGGATTTGAACCTACGACCTTTGGAATACTAGCCCAAATGGCAATGCTCTATCAACTGAGCTACGCGGTCAGGTCGGTTTGAATCCCAATGTGGCTTGGCATATTTTTCAAGCTTCCCCGGTGTGGATATGCACTCAGAGTAACATCACACAAGCGTCATATTCACAAATATCATGGTTATTAGATTACACTGGTATCGAAGGAACTAGACTCAGTTCCGAAATATCGCATACTCGAACTGCCCCGACTGTATAGCTCAGTTGGCAGAGCATTGGGCCAGTATTCCAAAGGTTGTAGGTTCAAATCCCACTGTGGCCAGGCATATTTTTCAAGCCTGCCCAGTGTGGATATCCACTCAGAGTACGTAACATCACACAAGCATCTTATTCACCTGAGTACATGTATTACACCAACACAGCAAATATCTTGATGGAATGAATTGGTCAGCCCGAGGTAATGTATTGAATCAATATTTGAGGAACACTTAAAATAAGGTATGAATCGCATAAAATGCAGATATCAAAATCAAACATTGTAACTCGAGCATAAAAATGTGCATATTTGTTTTAAAAGGCGATTGTTCCTTGAATGTTCAATGAAATAGTGCCATTGCCTTTTACAAGGAAGACCATTATAAAGAAATACACTTGACTTTCTTCATTGCCATCTGGTACTTAGTACAGATATCCCATATTTTCTTGATAAATTCATACCTGAAAGCGGAATACATACAGGTGTAAAAAACTTTAATGGTGATATAAGTGCTTTATATTCCCAAGAGTTGCTTTTCCCCACAATTTACTAATAGAATAAACTGGTATTAAAATCTCTAAAAAAACCTTTGTCACTCAGGGAAACTTATAGCAGTACGGTTTTCAACAAGCTATATTTGCTTAATTTTACTTGCTGGGGATTGTTATAATACTCGTGTTTTAAAGAATAATCTTGATAGTTCAGTTGCAACCAATGGTTGCAACACAAATTCACAATACAACAAGAATTGATAAATCATTTCAATGACTTACATGCTTTGTTCTTGTGGCCGTCAAGCTCCATTCATGTCTTTTTTTATTAATGGCTTTCGGTCTTTATTGATTTATACGCGCAGTTAGAATAATACTGTATTTTCAAAGGACGAAAATCAAAAATATACTCTCTGTCGATCAACTAATATAAACATACAAAATCACTGTAAAATCCAGGGGGGGTTGAACTTTGTCGCCCACGAACATTCGAGCCACGGGTCAGTGGAAACTGCCATGAAAATAGGTCGATTGTGACGTCAAATCCGCCATGTTTTTGGCCACACACTTTCGTCGAGAGCACGATCTCCAGATATATAAGTATAGCTCAGTGGGAATGCCTCTCAAACGCGCACTGGCTAGGACCATGACGTCAGCATTTTGATGATGAATCATGGGTGGCAGCGGTTACTCGAGTCGACATTCTGTGTGCCTTATTCTGTGACCCCACTTTTGAAACCGTTAGCAGCCTTCCTTTTCCTACAATCAGGAGCAAAAATTATTGAGACAACCGCATAAATGCCCCCCTCAACCCCAATTCAATGTTGTGTGGATGACTGAAAAGAGAAAATTCAACCCACTTTTTCCAACTTTGATCATGGGGGCAGGGGGGGGGGGAGACGTACTTTAAAATGGCCAAAAATGTGAAAAGTCTCATTATTTTTGCACGCGATTGTCTGAAATGGGCTGTCTGGGGGTTAGCTGTCCAAAATTTGAAATTTTGCCAAAATCTAACGATTAAGATGACATGAGATTGACATATTTCAATCAATTAACCGAAATTTTTTTGTCGCCCAAATATAGAAATTCTGCAAGGAGGCTGCGCGGGGGGAGGGACCGTGCAAAAATAAGGAAGCTTTTCTAACGATCGAATTTAATTTTTTACTATCATTTAGTTACTAGAAAAAATCTTTGGGAAAATAGACAAGTTGTAGGCTAAACACGATCTATTAAAATACTTTATGATATAGTAACAACCAGGGTTGGTAGGTTGCTGAATAAATAAGCCAAACATTGTTATAAGCGGCCCTTTCATGTCTTTGTTTCGAACAAAGGAAACAAAGGTTATGATAATAATATTTGGCTTATTTATTCAGAAAGTTACCAATCCTGGTAACAACACATCCAATAAGCCATAAAAATCTATTGTAGTCTTTTAACTACTCTTACGTCCTTTCAAGCTCGATTAGCCATCATTTCCTCAGGAGGGAATCATTATATGAGAGTTCCTCAACCCAGCCATATGACGAAAAATGAGAAAACTTTGTCATTTATACTGCAGTATGTGCTGTTGTGCTTGTGGGATGTTCACCAACTAATCTAAAGTGATTAGTTCACATAAATTTTATGCACTTGGCTTCATTAAACAAACGCTGACGCGTTACACACACGTTACACACACGTTACACTACACGTTACACCTACTTTACATAATAATCTATAGTATAAAATATATAGAAATATGACACGTTACACCAATTGTTTTTAAAAATAAATATATATATTTGTTTTTAATAACAATTGGTGTAACGTGTGTAACGTGTCGTATCTCTATATGTTTTACTACAGATTATTATGTAACGTGTGGTGTAACGTGTGTGTAACGTGTCTATAATCAGTACATAGAAATAGATTGATATTTTGCGCATGTGCGACCAGATTTGCTTGAGCTCATCTCACATAATCCCAAAATCATAGGAGATGGAAGTTTGCAATAAATTCTAGTGCAAGTTTACGATCAGTAAGTCCATATATCAACATAAATAAAAATGCTTGAATTGGGTTTAAAATCTAGTGAGTATGTCAATCTTATACGTAACAATTCAGCTAAAAGTAGGAAAATCTTTGAAATTTTTCCAAAATTGTATACAAGTAGGTCAGAACGATGCGTTGTGTGTTATAAAATACTTGAACTTTTAGAAAATATTCTGTTTGAGAAAAAAATATATACTCATGATTGTCAACCATGGGAAAAAATAGTCTGAATTTTATTCATTATTTTCCCCGAGCCGACGGCGCGAAGCGCCGTGCGAGGGTACTAATTCCCCCCGGCTATTTACACCCGGGGAAACGAAAGCATTAGCGGAGTCTAAAGTTCATCAAATATCGCGGGCGTGGGTGACCAACGATGGGTGGTCATCCTCACTGATCTCAAAAATATGGCGGACTGTCATGAATAGCGGACACTGATTGGTCCAATTTAAATTCTGCATTATAACGACTGGCACGACTGCATCACGACAGCGAAATAGCAAACATTTGTTGATTTGATGATTGATAAATTTCTTGCAAATACATTTCATTTTTACTCGCATTTTTGCAAGATTTTGTAAATTTCAAAAGCTCTCTCAAAATGAAACTGCGAAAGAATCGGCTGAAAGAAGGGAGCCGACGTCAACGAAGGTAAGTTTGTTTTAAATATTGATTTTATAATGGCTTTAAAACCCGACGGCCTTTGCGTATATGAAACAACTAAACAAACAGCATATAATTTTAGTGTATCTTTAATATTGATTCCCTTTTTCATGATATTGAATTTCTAAATAAAAAAGAAAGCACTGAGTTATTTGCAAGCGAGAATTTGAAATCATTTTATTGCAAACTCAAAGTTTATCGATAAAGCCATTTTAAAAGGCAGTTTAGTTTTATAAAGAACACTAGTGACTTTAAAACGTTCTGCGAAGCGTTTGAGGTTGAATTTTACCTTAAATTGAGGCTTATGTTACGTATAATAACACACCTAACATATATTTATGTTGGGAAATTAATAATTTTGTCATTTAAAATGATATTTTTAGGCGATTTTTCATTTGTAAGAATATTCTTAAAAAATTATCGTGTTACCATGACAACTACTTTAGAACTTCATGTTCGGAAAATACAATGGTTTTGTCAGCAAGGCGAGGGTTTCTGCATGCATGTATTTTCTAGTATAATCTTAATTCTTCCATAGTTAATAGAGGACAGGGTTTGGAAGGCCGGCAAACTTCAAAGGCTTTCGAGCTAATTAATTTCAGATGTTGGAAAGGTACGTCACGTGACATTTCGGGTGCATCAAATTCAGAAATTACTATAGCGTAGTATTACAGAAATATGCTATTGTGCTTATAAATTTTAAAATGAGGCATTGTTGTTCTTGTTATGGCTTCGACAAGTTCGGCATACGATTCAGAAAGCAAAATTCACCCAATTCTGGGTGCTGGAGACGCAGATACAACGACGGAGGCGATTTTCATCAAACTATTTAGCTGCTGCAAATCAACGCGGATGAATTAACTGAAGAAATATCGCGTTCAGTTGAAGAAGTAAGTCCTTTATACGGTGTCCAGTTAAACAATATGTAGTGAGATGCCTTAGACTTAATATTTGACTTATATTTGTCGTTTAGATTGAAGGATTAAAGCAATTCTCGTGCGAATATCGACGCAGTATTAAGCACTCGACAAATTCTACAGCTAGTACTGCCAAAGGGAAAATCAAAACCCATGTTATATGACTTATCACGCATATGAGAAGGCATTGTCGATCATTCGAGAGGTAGGGAAAAGGAAAGAATATTTTCATCCATGCAGAGAAGATAAAGTCGTGCTTTTGATGCTGGTGAATATGCCCGAACGGTTGACTTTGCTATTACCAGCAGATATTCTTATTATAAACACTGAAGAAACTGCATGCTTTAATACCAGTAAATATCTTAATACTGTATATATATAGACAATATACTGTAACCTAGATATGAATGTCTTAAAATAGTAGGCCCTAAGGCTTGTGTCCAATTGTCAATTACAAGTCCAGCCATTGACCAATATACAGTGATTCAATGTCTACTAACATGTGATTTGTTACTTTTGATCATTCTGTCACATCAAAATAGAATGTTACTGTCCAAGATTCCATGATATTTCATGCCCATGCATCCCCCAGTTTCCAAGACCAAGTCTTATAATATATTAGACAAAGGAGATTTCAAAGGAAATATCATACAGAGGAAATATCAAATTTTGATATTTCCTCTGTATAGTACAATATTGACCTAAGGGTATTAAACTTAGTTCTTATTCCTCTCCAGTGCCAGAAGATTTTACCTATGTGCAAAGGATTATATACCCAGAAATATTTTTTAATGTTTGTATTCTGCTAGTAATTATCAGTGAAATCAGAAGAGTTTGGACCACCCAGCTTATGTTGCTGGGGAGGGGCCGTCAGCCCTGTGGGTACCAAATTCATGACTTAATGATATTGCTAGAATTGCTGAATCGTGCTTTAGAAAGCACACAAGAATTAAGGCAAACCTACTTCTTTACACGTTGATAAAGTTATTAAGAATGTCCAAGCTCCTCCATTAGCAAAAAGTTTGTGGAATGACATTATTGAGCAATCTAATAGCATTGCAGTATCAAAAGAATGCCAGTACGTCCTTGTGTTTTGAGAATATTGGTAAACTGTATGGCTGTTAAGTTTCAAATTTTGCCATTTGTCGTGCTCCAGCCCAAAGCATGCCAAGCAGGCTGGTCATTTCATTGTTTAACTGCCCCACACTCAAAGGACACTTTTTGCATCTTCTGAGAACTTGGGGGCCTTGGCCCCCTGGTTCCTATGCCCCTGGTTGACAGCCAATTTCAGATGTGAATAGTGTACTTATTCACTACCGGTACATCAGTGTGCTCTGATTCTAGCCGTTGTTGTCTCTCAAACCATGATAATTCAAAGTTGAGCCTACCAATGTCTTGTTTATTTGAAGTGAAACAATTTTGTGTAATAGTGATTTACTGTATATATTAGTATAAATTTTTACAAATTATTCAACTAAGGTAATATATTGTTCTAGTCTTATTGTTCACCTATTCATTTATAATCTGTTTTAATAATTATTTTATAGCATATGTACAAATTATTGCATATTACTCTTTTGAAGCAGTGCTGTCATTAAGTTTACAAGTAGGTGGCCGAAAAATTATTGAACATTGAAGGCACAAGACTCCTAGAGGGGTCTGGGTTGGAAATGCCATTCCCTGCATTTGGGAAGGTATTTTACACATTCCCTGCATTTTGGAGGGTATTTTACAGAGTTCTTAAGATTACAAAACATCCTATCAAAGCCTGACCTGTTTGAAATAATTTAATCTTTTGTTTTAATTTTGATGTTCTGACTAGAGGAAGTAAAAGGTTTGTTTATTGCTTCACAGTTTTGTTTATATGAACTTTGTTCAGACAGAAGTAGGCAAGCTACAGGCCCTTAATGACAGCTCTGGGTACAAAAACCCCACAAAAGTTCTCACTAGATTACTTCTGTTTTATGTTACGGCAAGGCCTTTTCTAATCCACCATACCATTTACTCCTCTGACCAGTGTGACGACCAGCAATGTTACCTGGCTCCAATTGTCGATGTAGAGAGGTATGCTTTTCTGGGGTAAATTAAATGTAGGAATAGCACCAGCTACAAGCCTTTTGCAGGTGGGAACTAAAGCAGAACATAAAATATCTGATTATATATACAGTAAGTTGACTTAATTTATACAAGTATTGTTAAGATAGTAATTATAATAAAATTCACAGCAAACAAGATTTCTAATAACTGTAAATGGGGCTTTCATATACTATGACATGGCCAAACAAAAATCCTGTTACTTTATTATGCCAGTTTGTTGCTATTAAAATCGAGGGGCATTTCACTCCAAAAAAGCGTACGGGATTTTCGGATTTTTAAAAATCCGCGGATTTTTTAGCGGATTTTTCCCGGATTTTTTAGCGGATTTTTGAAGAGAAAATCTGTTGGATTTTCCGGATTTGTTCGGATTTTTTCCGGATTTTTTGACGAAGCGTATGGGATTTTCGGATTTTCAAAAATCCGCGGATTTTTTAGCGGATTTTCCCGGATTTTTAGCGGATTTTTGAAGAGAAAATCAGTTGGATTTTCCGGATTTGTTCGGATTTTTTCCGGATTTTTTGACGAAGTGTACGGGATTTTTGGAGTGAAATGCCCCTCGATTAAAATAGCCTTTGAATACTGTATAATACTTTGTTTACTGTATACGAAAATGTTTCTACTGTCCTCAGTGACAGTGTCCTGAATAATATGTATACCTTAATTTTATGAACACAAGGGTTAACTGTTATATAAATATGACCTAATGACCGAAACGCACTTTTATGCAAATCATTAATATTTAATATATTTTTCCTGCTCTATGACCATATGGTTAATACAAATTTGATAATTTGATACATGAAATATATAGTACTTCTGCTATAAAAGTTGTAACTTTCAAGCGTTCATACCGAAATATCAATACCTCTACCAGAGAAAGAAAATAAATTACATGTTTCGGCTGGGTCTTTTCAAAGTGTCTTTCACAAACGTGAAGTGTTTGTTGAGCGATTTGATTTCTTAAACTTGCATCTATCTCTCGATCCAGCGTCCTTTGTGTCGATAAATCGTCGTCTTTTGTTGGATTTCAAAAAATACTGAGACCAAAGTGTTTTCTACTAGTCCCGCAACCATGTATGGAGCAATTTGCAACTGATATTTGGATATCCTTTCTGTAAAAGACGTTTTTCAAGCACTACAGCCTCCAACCTCGTACCCAGGGCTAGTCGCGAATTGAAGGCGGCGACATAGCCCTGGTAAATGCTGGTCACGTGTCAGGCAAATACTCCAAGATTCTTGGAGTATTAGCCTGCGAGCGGGCTTTGTGGAAATAAAGACAGGGGGGCGACGAAAAGTTCACGAATGGAACTTGAATTGCCGCGGATTATTTATATTCTTTTATTTTTGTTGTAATCTTTCTTCTTAATATGTTACGTTTATATATTACGTCGAATGTACATCAATCTTCTTTTATATCGCATCATGTAAATCGCCGAGGAGGCGATGTTTCGAATTTCGAAGCAGTGAAAATGGAGCCAATCTCGTACATACTATTTGTGATGATTTCCATCAAGTATGAAAAGGTACAGTATATATGAATTTGAAAATGTTTAGAAGTATTTCATTGTTACAAATTATTTAGCAGATTCCCATTATTTGTTACACTGTCTAGCTCTATGAAATATATATTTCGAAGGCTATTTACTGTAATATATTTTATACAGTATGTTAATATAGTTAGCTGAATTTTGAGAAACACATGGCCAGACTATGGCCTATAATACTATACTCGGACTCTCAGTAAAGTTCTACTCTCACATGATTATTATTTACAATATTGATTTATCGCTGCGAGAAACGTGTTTACACTTTAATACAGTATTATTAAACTACATTTTACAGCAGTATTAACTTCAAATACTTTGTATTTACATTTACAGTAATGACCTGAAATTATTTAAATGAGCCATTACTGGAATAACAGAGTGGCCAGGTTGACAAAGCTAAAATCTGATGAACCTAACCTGCTAGGATATTTCAATAGTCAAACATCAGTTTCAGCACTCCAGCTGGTCAGGGATTTTTAGGGAAAAGTTTTAGCACCCCATTGTAAAACCTGCCCTGCATCTCAAAATTTCATTATTTTGTTCCCTTGCCCCTACAATCTATATTTATACCTTTTGTGCCCTTGAGATCTTTAAAAAAATTGCCTAACTCTGCAGTATGGCGTGTAACCTTGTTGCCATATTTATTTTCTGACTTCAGGCTTCAATAAATTTCTACTCTAATACCTGACAGAGATGGGGCCATATGTATGAACAATAAGAAATGATTTCTTCATCTATTATTGACCCCTTACCTTTCACCCAATTTTAAAATTAAATTTACTGAATGATTTTGAAGTTTTCTAGATTATTGAAAAGAACTTAATGGGTACAAGAAATGGGGCAAAAACAGTTGAATTAAGCAAGATGCAAGTAACAATGAACAAGACCGGGTCACTGGATGGTATTTCAGCACACTGGTGGACATGCAACCTAATACCTGCAACCTGTGTCACATTTATATATATATAGTTTTACACTGTACTGGAAAAATAATGTCAAGGAACTTGTAGAGATTCAGAATGCACACTTCATGGTTTATTCAATCACCAGCATGCATGAATCATTTTATGTTATGAATATTTTTTTTAAATTATTCTCATTTAGATAAAATTATATCAATTTTTAATCTCATAAATGAATATATAGTAGCTTTTGATTAAACAAGTTATAATAATATATCAGCAAATAATGACTGGTCTCTCTGAAATCCATATAGAAAGGTTCAAATTTGACTTCCACTACCACTACTTGATCTGGCAGTTGCATCCGATTGTTTGATTGGATAAATGAAATTTATCTGGTTAGAACTTTAATGATAGCAATAGCAGCAGTGGAAGTAAAATCTGATCTCTCTATTATTTTTTGAAGATTTGCTCTAGTCACGTCAATTCAGGGTTGCCCATGCAACTTGGTTAGCACAGCTAGCTCTTCAAGTTGGCGGTCCAATTCTTAGGATTCTGCAAATTAATTCTAGAAACCTGGCTTTGGTTTGGGCTAAGCAAAAATCATCACACTGTTTATCATGCTGATTTGGTTGTTTAACAGTTAAAGTCCAGGCTGCATGTTTTTTGTCCTGCATGTGGCAGATGGGACAGTCTGGTTTCCAAGTGTTTATGTTGGGAATTAATATTAATCAGGACTGGCTTCTGAGTGAAGGTCTTGCCTGCTTTATGTGAGAGCAGGCTCTATGCGAGATTCCAATTGCTACACAGCATGATCTCAGGGCTCTTCCTCTGAAACAATGCTTGGTTGCAATATCATCCAGCAAGTGCAAAAATGTACTACCACAGTCAAGGATCATTTGGCATGTTCATCGACTATGTTAACCCATTGAGTGGCGCCATGCACTCTCCACCTGATGAGTAAAATTGTCTGATGTTAGACAGAGTAAACTAACAAAGTAGGGCGCATCTGGGTGCTTTGGACCATTCCATTTAATGTACACACCACCTATGGACGATGTACACCCCCTAAGAAAAAATATCAAAGTGCCGACACCAACACCCCCCAGAAATTAAGAAATTTTTGCCTTATCCCTCAGAAAAAAATGCAAAGATCAAAGGTTACGGATGCACACAACCCCTAGAAATGGCTTTTTCAACCCCCTCAGAAATTCTAGTCCATGGGGGGAGGGGGTGTATATTAAATGGATGGCCCATTGCCACTTAAAGGGTTAAAAACGTAAATACCACAGCACAACACTTGTACATATACATATACAAGTAATACAACAGCAATCCTTTTATATATTTAATAGTCATATTTACATATTGGTGAAATATCAATGTCCATATATTAGGGATGTCCATGAACTTGTCCCTAGTTTGAAGCTAATGTATTTATATATTTTGTATAAGTTGTCCCTCTACAAACCAACTTTTAGTCATTATACAAGAGTTGAATTTGCATTCATTTGCTTCGCAAGTCGCAACAAACTGAAGAAAGTACTATTCCATAAACCTGTGCAATGATTGAGCGTCTTTAGCGACATATCCAAGTCTTTTAAACGTCTCATTGGAACAAATCTCACTGAGTTTTTTCTACAGAAAGTATTGATGCATTTGATCGATCGCCGTACTTTGAGAAAAGCTTGAAATGCAAAATTTACAGGAAAGATTGAAGAATTTCGGAGATAAAAACTGTTTGTCTTCGAGTTTCACCTATTCACCCCCCGGTTGAGAAAAGTAACAATTACGTAATGTTGGAGTCACGTGACCAGCGTTTACCAGGGCTACGTCGCCGCCTTCAATTCGCGACTAGCCCTGGGTACGAGGTTGCTCCATTTACTGTTCGGAGTACTCTGGATTTTCGGAACACTAATGGAATGGAACAGAAGAGAGTCCATGACTGTTCTGAACTGTTCTGACTACCCCGATTTTCGAGTAGGGAAGCCAGAACAGACACGTGACACTGCCTATTTTCACGTGATTGGAAGTGGAGGCGACATATTTTGTGTATCCAATGCACACTGTATAGAGCGTTATTTTGAAGGGTTAACCGCTATATTTCTACATATACTTATTATATGCTATTTGAAAGCCAGGGTTGGGCAAAATCAACGAGTAAAAACATTGCAAAAGCATACGTAGATGTACAAATACAGTAACAGCGAATCATTATACGCTTTATTATGCGAATAACTAATTAATAATAATAGTAATGCATGGTTGCACGCACATATAATAAACTCAACACTGTTCCAGAACACCGTGTGCACTCCATTTTATATCGTTCCACAACAGTGTTCTAGAACAGTAAATAGAGCAGCCTGAAGGGTATTATTTTTTCGAAATGGACTGACAAACATTTCTTGACATTTCATTCAATATAGCAATAACTCTCATACGAGGTAAGATTGAAGAAGTGACATTACCTGTAGAGAAGGTGGATATCATTATCAGTGAATGGATGGGATATTGTTTGTTTTATGAATCCATGTTGAACAGCGTGCTCTTTGCTCGAGATAAATGGCTGGTAAGTCATTTAAGTGTGAATCAGAGTACGATAATTTATTATTTTGAACGTTGTATACAAAACGTTAAAATCTTTGGTTTGCTGTTGTAAACAGACAACAATGTCTATAACTCCAGAAGGACCTCTAATTATTAATTTCCTTTCTACAGTACACTGTCATAAATTTTATTGTATCAATAGCCGTCGGCGTCGCGGTTGTAGCGAGCTTAAGCATGTAGGACGGCAACGCGGCAGCCAAAACAAATTCCTTCAAATAAATGATAGTAACGAAAATTTGTCGTATATTATAAGTCGTATGAATTTGATACAGTATAAGAAGTTAAAAACGTTGGATTTATGTTTGGGAAGAGTTGTATTAAACCGAATTTTAAGTTGCATTTGTTACGGCTTGAAATGCAGGTGTTGTATAAAAGACGTTGTAAACAAAGCGAAGACTGCCGTTGTAAACAGATCGACGACTACATCTGAAACTCCCCTGGGACTTTAATTATTTATATCTTTTGATTGACTCGTTGTATTGGTTGCCGTCGTCGTCGTGTTGCCGTCCTACATACTTAAGCTCCCTTGTGACGCACGCTGAAAGTAGAGACACTGATTGTTACTAGTGATCCTGGCGGTTTACGAAACGGAAAATTGCATCAGTGTCCTGCAGCTATGTTCAGATTTTGACTTCCACTATCTCTACCCTTACCAGTAACCAATCAGATGCATTTAATCTACCCATTCCATAATATTATTATTGTATAATAATAATAATATAATTATATATATTATATAATATTATTATTGTATAATAATAATAATAATAATAATAAATCAGTACTACAGTAGTGGTAGTCATATCCAACCCCCTCTACTGTAGCTAAAGGTCCATTACATATATGATTATTGCTGCGTACTTGACCTGGTAGACGTTTAACATAAAATATACCTAAAGTACAGGGGCAGGTTGTATAAAAAAGTGATTAAAGTTAACTATAGTTAGTGGAAACATTATCTAATAAGAAGCGCGTATTTGAGAGTTAATAACTATTTAACTACAAAATAGTGATTAAAAAAGTGATTAAGAGTTTTATACAACCGGCCCCAGTTTTCTAAAAGATAATCATTTCGTGTTAAAACACGAAGAGGCACAAGCACATACAAAAATTGATTTTTGCATTTACGGTTTTTAATACCTTGGGGCGTTCACTGGTCATATACAGTAGTACCAGCAAAATACAAGTACGTAAATAACTGTAGTACTGCGGACCTACGTGGTACTTGGTTGAAACAAAGTGCTTGTGCCTCTTCGTGTTTTAACACGAAATGATTATCTTTTAGAAAACTGGGGCCGGTTGTATAAAACTCTTAATCACTTTTTTAATCACTATTTTGTAGTTAAATAGTTATTAACTCTCAAATACGGATAATTGGGCATATAATATTGATAGCGGTTGTGTGAATGCCGTTGTTTTTCTAGACCTAAAAAAGGCCTTTGACACGGTAGATCACGATATCTTATTATCTAAACTTAATGCGTACGGTATTAGAGGTGTCGTACACAAATGGTTTGAGTCTTATTTGAATGGTCGTCATCAAAAGTGTTTTGTAAATGGGTGTCTATCCGAAAACCGCGCATTAACATGTGGTGTTCCTCAAGGAACAATACTAGGGCCGTTATTATTTTTATTGTATATAAATGATTTGCCGAATTGCCTCTCACATTCACAGCCTCGTATGTTTGCAGACGATACTCACTTGACATATGCGGATAATGATATCGCTAAAATCGAACTTAATCTCACTAATGATCTTGAGAGTATTCGTGAGTGGCTTATTGTTAATAAATTAACACTGAACATGTCCACTTTATACGTTTGATAATGCTCCAGTACTTACAATCGAAGGGGCTCCTATCAAACAGGTAAAATCAACCAAGTCTCTGGGCCTTCACATTGATGAGCATCTCTCATGGTCTGTTCATGTTGATGCCATTTCCAAAAAAATCGCCTCTGGCATTGGTGCGCTAAAACGCATCAGGCCTTTTGTTCCTCGTACAACTCTGCATACTATTTTTCATTCACTAATTCAACCACATTTTGACTATTGCAGTGTTGTGTGGGGGAATTGTAATAAAACTCTTGCTACTAAAATGCAGAAATTACAAAACCGTTCGGCTAGGGTTTTAACATTTTCCGGCTATGATACTAATGCTGATGGTCTTCTTCAAGACCTTGGATGGGAAAACCTTGAAACACAGCGCCAAATTCATCAGGCTATTATGGTCTATAAGTCGATAAATGGTTTGGCTCCTGAATATCTTCGTTCAAAATTTGTTGATCGTAGCTGTGTTTCGGGTTATTCTCTTAGGGACACTGTTGGCAAACTTGCTGTTCCTTTTCCTCGTACTAACTACCTAAGAAACTCCTTTAGTTATAGTGGTGCAGTAACATGGAACAGCCTTCCTGTTGAGTTGAGGCAAGCTAATTCTTTAAGTTCGTTTCGATCTGGCTGTAATAAATTTCTCTCTTCTCGATCGTAATACCTAATTAATGCACGGCACTCATGTAAAGCAGGTTTTTCTTTTGTCATTTCTTAGTATGAATTTATATATTGTGTTATTTATATTGTAAGTAGTGTGTTATTAGTTTTATGCATAATTTTGTAGATTTATTTATATATATAGCTATATGTATGTAATCTTAATCCTGATGAGTACACCGTGGATAAATAAAGTTACCTTACCTTACCTTACCTTAAGATGGGACTGTAATATTGGTGTATCTCCAGGCATCGAAATACTGTAGGTCCCGGTCATTGACCGGTAAATTTTTAAGTTTGACCGGCAAATATTATCGTTTACCGGACACACCTGACCGTTAGGGGGACTGTAAGGAGTTGGTTGTTTAAGAAAGGGGAGATGAGGGGAAATCTGTCATGAAGATTTCTGAGCAACAAGACAGTTTTTCTAAGTACAGAAAATCAAGACCGAATTTCTTAACGTGCTATAGGAGCGAATTTTTGGACCTAGTTTTTTTTTAGCTTAAATAACAATTTAGTCTTTTAGAAGCATTTTCATATATATTTGACCATCATGCGATGCTTAGAAGTTGCCAAATTTAACCTCTGAAGTTGGTTATCGCGTGAGAACTTTTCCGCCGCCATATTGATGCCGTGTGACGTCATAAGATGAACGGAAACGAAGATATGAAGGTCGTATTTGTAGTAAATTATATGGCGCGTCAACATATTGCAGTGGAATTTTTGTCTATTTCACTTGTTTATGGCGCAGATAACTGATTTTTAAAAATCGAAGAATAAGTGATCTTATTGTTTATTTGACGGCGGAATGACGGTTAGAGATTCAGATAATAAGGTCAGTACTACATCTGGAAGTCAACGAGTATAGACTCGGCTAAGTCGGCTTTGAAATACGATGATGAACCAAACAACTTTTAAACAGCTTCACTAGATGAAGTGATAGAGACATACAACGCCGCTGCAGATATGGGCAACTACCATCTGTGACTATGTTGGAGCAATCAAGCGATGGTACAATACCGGTCCTGTAAAATTAGTGGTAAGTAGATCCTTTTATTGCATGCATATTTATATTGTATTGTGCTCGCCTCGGTATTGTGTCTGATTGTTTAAACACATCTGGTGTGTGCAACTTAATATATTATAAACTGGATTGTGCGTGACAAAAAATATAATAACGTTTATAAACACAAGCATATTCATAGCCTAATAATTCGCAATACTCAAAATGATTTTGATTTTGTTTTTAATAGATAGCGATAGGTGTAATTGGCAATTATGGGCTGTGTTTCAATTGATGGCTAGTTTTACTTGGATGGGAAAACAGAAGAAAATCATTTCCAACAACAAAGACACAGCTGCCTTACGTTTGAGCAGAAAAGCGGTCGACTTTAGTTGGATTAGGCAGATTGTGACTGAGTCAGTTAACCATTGAGTCAAAATTGTACAACTGTGCATTGTGCAATATCACATTTACTGTAATATTTTGAAATTATATTAATCTTCAAAGTAACCAGTTAAGTTGCATCCCTCATGTTTTGTGCGCAAATATATTTCTCACATAATAGCGTACCAGTACAATATTATACTATCGTATTATAATATTATATTTGTTACTTTATACTATGCAATATGTATCATTGATATGACTGAACTAGGTCCAGGCCTGCTGAATTGTTGTCTTTATTTCAATCTCGTAATAAGAAATGTACACTTTAGACTAACTACTGTATATAGTATCATTTGCGCAAAATATTCACCATGTGTGCGAACATATTAATAATTTGTACTTCACTATATACCTCAATTATTTGCCTTGCGTCTGTTAGTTATACTTTAGCCAGGGGAATAATTCTAGCAATGTAAATTGTATAAACAGTTTCTTCCTTCAGTATTCTTTCCATTTTACGAGGTTTTATCAATGAAAATAAGATATAGCACGAATCTTCAAAACGGGCTCAATCAAAACACTAAGTTCGCAGATGCGCGAAAACCCGCGGTCAATGTTTACGGATAAAATTCACTAACTTTCTTTCACTCTGTTGATCTGTTTCTTTGTTGGGAAATAGATGCATGGGTATTCCTTCAGGCTGTTCAGAATTCGTGCAATAATCTAAGTTAGAACTGCCAGAAACACGGCCTTCGTCTCCGCGTTTGTTGGTTTTAATATAATTTTAATACGCCATGATGAAATCGTGTTAATCTTATGACGTCACATGGCATCAACATGGCCGATCAAAAGTTCGCACAGGAAGTGCCAAAAATGGCCACTTTGGAAGGCTATAAAATCGGTTTGAATTGACCAATTTCAATTTTGTTTGTGGTAAACAGGTCAGGAAGGAAAGCACTTTTAATTAAGCTAAAAAAATGAGGGTCGAAAAACTCGCTGCAGTAGAACTTTAATGAAAGAAGTTTCTTTGGATAATATGTACACTAGTAAGCCTTATATTTCCATCCCGTTTGTAAGCTTTAACCTGTCAAATTTTGTTCTCTGAAACAGTTGTCGTAAAAGGGGCGGTTGAAACTTCTTGAAAAATATGGACATTGATGTAAGGGGGGGGGGACGAATTTTTTAAAACGGGCTTATACTACCCGTATATGAAACACTTTGTCAGACAACTACATACTGTATTACTGGAATAGAACTTGAGTCATAAGTAAAACGCACTTGGACTAATAATTGTACCATCAAATCGCCTTGCTATATAAGTACTAACGAATTCCCAAATATTTATAACAGTCTTCTTCAATTTCAATTTTTTGTTTTGATTTATGTAGAACACAGATGGTATTATGTTCCCAGATAAAGCCAGCTTGTACATCTGTGGTATTGAAGACAGACAGTATAAAGAAGAAAAGATTTATTGTAAGTTAAAATAAAGTTTTGATGTGTTGGTGTAATGTACTTAGGTGAATATGATGCTTGTGATGTTACTCTGAGTGGGGACCGGCTAAACGGAGAGTTATGAAGTGGAGAGTTATCTCAGAGAGTTATGTTCGAACCACGCCCAAACCTCGCCCACTTTTCCCAACGACTACACCCAATTTCTTAACTCTCCCGATGTTTCCTTGAACTAACATGAGAGAGTTATGTTTGACGTAACTCTCTCTCGTTAACATTATGAAGATGTTAGAGAGTTATCATTTTTTATAACTCACCGCGTTCACGATTGTGGCAATGCCAATGAAGAGATTTATGTCCGTCAGTTTTTTGAAAAAAGCTTCCACATTTTAGTAAATTATTGTGAATTTACTTTTTTCTCAAGTTTCAGCTTTAACATTTCACGCTAGTAGAAACTAGTAATACTTTAATACTTGCCAAGTGAAGCGAGTACGAGTAAATAAACTATTATACATGCTCACTTGGATTATCTACAAAGCCCAGCATTCAGATACAGCTCAGATAGAACCAGAAAACCTTTCCAATGTAATGCCCTATTGGCTGATCTGGGAAAGTATTTCCAAAATCTGAATTTCTGAAAGATTCAATTTTTTCAATTTTGGACGCACGCTGTTGACACGCTACAAACTGAAATACCAAAATATAAGATGAAAATCTGAAGAAACAAGCTTTACTAAGGTTTTCTCAAAAAACTGACATAACTCTCTTCATTGCCACAATCGTGAACGCGGAGAGTTATAAAAAATGATAACTCTCTAACATCTTCATAATGTTAACGAGAGAGAGTTACGTCAAACATAACTCTCTCATGTTAGTTCAAGGAAACTTCGGGAGAGTTAAGAAATTGGGTGTAGTCATTGGAGAAAGTAGGCGTGGTTCGAACATAACTCTCCGAAATCGTAACTCTCCCTTTAGTCATACCCCTCTGAGTGTATATCCACACCGGGCAAGCTTGAAAAATATGCCTGGCCACGGTGGGAATCGAACCTACGACCTTTGGAATACTAGCCCAATGCTCTGCCAACTGAAGTTGTTTATTAATTGATGACCTTTACTAGGTATTGTCCAGTGATTAACTAGACTTCCTCCAAGTCCCTAATTCTCTGATGGGAATATATTGTAAAGTACAGTAGGACCTCTCGAACTCCCAAGGGAAGGGAATATCTAGTACAATCTGCAGACAGGCATGTTTTGGTGCCCGACTGTATTTATATCGCATGAGCTTGCTCTCACAAGCGCATGTGGTACCGTACGGGCCATCTACGCATCCAGACATGCGCAGAGCGTCATGGGGCCAGAGTGCTCAAACAACGACAAGGGAAGTGAGCTTTGTATTTATTGCTAATGGACATCCAATTAGGACACCGAAGTGAAGGAGCGTAATAGTACAATCTACAAACATGCATGTTTCGGCGTCCTACGCCTCGTCAGTGCAGCTTGGTACACGTATATAAATTATATAGTATGTACATATAGTATTATTGTTTTATTATTCATCACAATTGTCAGCCTTACTCTACAGATGTCACAAAGTTTGTACTACAGTTAGTATACTATCGCAGTGTTAATAGTACAGTACCTAATAACAATACCAAGCTAGATCAGTATTGATTGACGCAACTTGTTGAACCTTTTATTACGGTTGTATGTACTGTTTAATAAACGAACAGAAGTGCTTTAACTCTTGACGAAGGGCCTTCGCTCGAAACGTCGAGTTTCTGCTTGTTGATTTCAGGTAGTACAAAACATGGCCTATATTAAAGGGCCTATATTAGAGGGCCTATAGTTGCATATTTCGGAGCTGCTCCTGGTTAGATCTAAGTGCATGTATAACATTCACACTAGAATTTTCCATCTAATAAATCCTTCCATATTAGTTCAGTCGAGTGCACGAGGGCTCTTATTTGCATTATAAGATTTTTAGGAATTGTATTGCATTGGCTTACTTCCAGGTCCAGTACTTTCACTATAGTGGAACAGAGAAATAGGGACTTGGTGCAAGTCTGGTGATTCTGGTGAACAGTTGCTGCTGTTCATTAAGTGTCGAAGTGCTAGTTGATAAAAACAAAATGTAATTTAACGACGATTGGAAAAGAACAATCCAAAAAGCGAGTCAATTTGAAGATTTTGGGGATTCGTATTTAAAAAAAGACTAGCAGCAGATAAAGTGGAGGTTTTGACATTTCAGGAAAGTCTTCTGAAACTGAAGGTTTTTCAGGTTAAAATTAAGCTTACTACGATTATCGCCTAAATCTGGAACCAATCGAAGATTCCATCGCGTTCAGGCCCGCAAACGTTGGCGGCCACGACTACAGTACATGTTTTTGCATGTTCATAATTCTAATTTTAAACAGCCAATCCGATTCTTACTATAATTGCTCTTTAAAATATCAAATGAAAATCGTCGACGAACTTATACGCCAGATAGCTATTCCCCTTTTTATCTATACTTCATGCAATGCCCTTTTGTCCATTGGAAAAGGGGATTTATGCATCGGATATCTTATCCACATTTCGTACAACCGGCCCCTGACAAATATAGTATATGTACAATATTTGGCAAATAAAATACGCGTGGTGTTTCCAGAAAACAATAAAAGTACAATGGTGATGTGTATTTCATTTTATTAGGGTGGGACAACGTTTACGGTTTTGATATGAGTTGTATTCGAAAGGTTGCTATCACTGAACCACTTGTGGATGTCGTGGAGGCGAAACAGATTGTCACAAACTCCTGTCTTCTTAAAGTAAGTCGCTACTTACACTCAGCTATAGAAATAAAACTACAGTACAGGTCATATCTACATTAAACCTAGTGATAGATAAATGTAAGTACCTTCTTGACAAAGGAAGATTTAAACATCATTCGAGTACGAAAGTCTGCAGGTGACGCTGTTTTACGCACACAATTCCAGGTTGAAGAAAGACAATGGAAAATACTTGTTGTACACGATGGAACCTTAAGCAAGAGAAAAAGGTTTTCACAATTACGAGTACGACTATGAGTAACAAATGACACAAAATGACAAACATTTAAATCGTTATATCCATTCAGTACTTAAAAAAAATTGTTAAGTCCTTTGTCTGTCTGTATCATATGACAACGGTAGAAGGTTTAAGTCTGGCGCACACGATGCGAATTTAGTCGGCCGATAAAAATCGTTTGACTAAAACTAACAAAATCGTTGTGTGTGCGGTGTCATTTTTAACCGATTTTTGTTGCTCGATTTTAATCGGACAACATCAAAACGTTTTGATATTATACGATTTTTATCGGTGGAATTTTAAGTATAACCAATCAGATTTCATGCTGTGATCACGTGCTTGTATTTATTTGGCAACATGGCGGCTACAGTTCAGGGAGCGTATTTTTTTTCGTAATCGTGTGCAGAGTATACCGATGTATATCGGTATGTCAAACGATTTTTATCGGCCGACTAAAATCGCATCGTGTGCGCCAGGCTTTAGAGGCAGCAATCGATCTTTATAAGGGATATCACGATCCATCTTGTGGTACGCCTTTGAATTCTCTCCAAGTTGATTTTGTTGTGACACTGAGAACGTGACTAGACCGTGACCAGACACTGAGAACGTGGCATATTAACGTAGCTGGGATTTCGCGAGTGATGGATATAATTTGCGCCAAACATCACGATCCGTTGACAAAGGACACTTCGTACTAAACCCAGTATTTTATTATTTTTGATAACAATTTGTGTAATATTCTTATTCCAGCAGAGACTATTTGTCACAGACTCCGAGAGAAACTTCGTTATCTATACTGTACGCGTTTTACAGTAGTTCTCTTGAACCAAGATGGCAATGTCACAAACGGTCTTCTACAATGGAATATTGTTAGCAGTTCAAATTTGGAGATTTTGAAATTAATGTTTGATTCCTTACTCCAATCGAAAGTGCATGAGAAGGAGTCTTCCTTGCATGTACAACTTTGTATCTTTAACGGTACCGTCTTGTTGATGTTGATGTTGATGTTGTTGTTGTTGTTGTTGAAGGTACATGTATTACATCAGGCAGATAACTGATGAACAGAAAGAAAAGCATATGTCCTTTTAAAATGCTGCCTTGGTAGAGTTACTTGAGACAATTCTGAAGCAATACCTTCGACAACAATGAGTTTAGCAACCGAGAACGGTGACGACGGAAAATAAAATTACTTTTGTGGTCAATTACAATTCTATACAATCTATAGTCGGTCTATATGTGCTCGGCTTCATTGACGTAACCGTTGTATTTCCCAAACTCGCTAACAATACGCTGAGTACGCCTGGGTAAATAGTCAGTGAACCATTTGTATATCTGATAAGTTGCAGTGTACTGTATATCTGATATTGCCGTAAGCTTTGAGTTTCTTCATTAGGAAGAAAGCAGTTCTGCATCAGGAAGAAAAACAACGTTCGTCTGGATATTTCTGTCAAGTAATAGACCTTTCCAAGGTTTCTGCCGCCATATTGCAGGGGGTGCAAAAACATTGGGGCGAGCGCGCGGCCACCAATGGCGCCCATACTATTTCCTATTGAGTGAGTGAAAATTACCTTTTGACATTTTGTCCTTTTTCTCAAGAAATTTCTATACAAGCATATCCAATTTTTATTTTTGGATAATCGCTGGGTTTTTTCTGATATGTGGCCGAGATTTCTTACTAATCGAAGGCAGGAAGTAATAAAAAACGGCGGCTTTTGTTGCACACCTTGACCGACGTTTGAGCGATGATTCTTGTTATTTCGTTTATTTAACCGATCTTTGGAAGAATATTTGTCCATTAAGTGTGTGAGTCCTTTGGTGTCCGCCATTATTACTGTTTATATTTGTATATTTGTACAAAAATCATCGCTCAAACGTCGGTCAAGGTGTGCAACAAAAGCCGCCGTTTTTTATTACTTCCTGTCCTTCGATTAGTAAGAAATCTCAGCCATATATCAGAAAAAAACCAGCGATGATCCAAAAATAAAAATTGGATATGCTTGTATAGAAATTTTTTGAGAAAAAGAACAAAATGTCAAAAGGTAATTTTCACTCACTCAATAGGAAATAATATGGGTGCCATTGGTGGCCGCGCGCTCGCCCCAATGTTTTTGCACCCCCTGCAATATGGCGGCAGAAACCTTGGAAAGGCCTGTTGTCCAATATGATGTAGAGTGATCAGAAATTGGCAACCATGGAGGAATATGTGTGGCGTTATGTTATTCATTATATCCCGAACGCGATATTAAAACCGATTGCAAACACATCGCTCCAGGACTTTGCTAATACTGGTTAGCAGTGGTATTTGGAAGCATACGGATTGATAGGGAACTACATACCTGTAGCAAGTTCTTTCTAATGTACTGGTGTTACATTCGCGGATTTCCATTCAGAAGGTACGGTTCCGAAATGAAGAGAGTGATTGAAAAGTGAGCAAAAGCTTCGAGTAATGACAGATCTACATTCCTTTAATATCCGACAAGGAATACTATCAAGGCCAGTAGCTTTAGATGGTCCAAGTTTAATGGATAGTGGACAATTTATTTTTCTGAAATGGTAATATTGGACATTTTGGCACAGGTCAGCAGCAAAGAGGTGGGGGCTTCAGGGTGTATATGCAAGTCGGAAAACGGAACAGAAATAGGTATTGAAAAGTTCAGCTTTTTCTTTTGAAGACTTCGCTTTTCGGTTATTACAGGATTTAACGCTGAGTGGTCGTGAGGCATTGCTTTATGGTACTTCTAAAATATCTTGGGGTTTTCTTTAAACGATGCTTCGATCTTTGCAAGATACATTTTATGGTTAGTTTTGATTGTGCTCTTGATCTGCTGACACAAAACACGTGAGTTTACGTTGTTCCACTGTTACGCTCTTTCTCTAGTTCTTGTTGGCGAACTTCTCCATCGATCCAAGGAGTAGGTTGTTTGAGGTGCCGAAGGGTTCCGCGAAGTGCAGGAAAGTCAGCTGATAGGCTTTAGACTATACGTCGTACAGTTTTTGCTTTTCGAAACGTCGTGCATATACTGAACTCAATAATATCATGCTCGGTTGGGAAGTTGTGTTGATCAGAGAGAAAAGTCAAGGTTATTACCTGCACGTTGCAGAAAATTATCGCCTTTTAGTTCGCAAAGTATACACGAACAAATTCCCTTGTCTAAACGCTGGCATGACCGACTTTTGAACAATACTCGTTGTCAAGGAAACCTTGCTTGTCTGTACGGCGTTTAACTCTTGAAGTAAAATTATTTTGGGGTTGTTGTCAATAGAGGCGAATTTTTAGGTTGCTGTCAGTTTTACTGGTTTTAGCAGGACCAAATTCTAGTAGTATCAAAGCAAATGTCATGTCTGCAAAGTAATGAAACCGGCAATGCCATTCAATGGCGTTCTCTTTGTATGTTTAAATACCATGTCTATACCCAAAAACGTTGCTCTTTTCGGAGCGGTACAGTCCTCGTTTTCGTAGATGAAATAATTTGAAGCAAATTATGCGTGGGTAACCTATCCACGGGATCGTGAGTTTTTGAACCTTTCTAAAATTATTCATTGGTTAGCATAACCCAGATTAAACTTTAGTATTTATAAGTTTTAATTAATTGTGAGGTCTGTATGTCCGTAGTTTTTCTATATTTCTGATTCTGTATTCTAGGAAATTAATATTGAAACAGTGACAAAAGAAGATTTGGAATTCGATGTACCGTATCAGTTATTCTGTCAAAGAGATGATTATATTCAAGCACTGGTGTCTTACTTTACCATCGAGTTTTCTCATTGTCACAAGAGAACAGGATTTTCAACAGGTAAAAACGGATATTTTAAGGCATTTATGGAGGGAGTAGGTGGAAGATTGAACCTGCCTGTTGACTTTAACACGTTACTACACTGCCGAAGTTAAATTTTTTTACCGACTGGACTTTTTCATCTATATTACCTTTTGAGTCCTCCCCCAGAAAGACGCAAGCCTTTTTAAATACGGCATTTAGGTTACGACATATTTTGGCATAATTATTGGAACTATTTTGAAATTCTCTAGTATCAAAAAGCGATTCCCTGTATATATCGACGCTACGTCCCTTGTTTGTTTGGATTTTGTGCGTTTGTGCAGTACCATGCACTGATCGCGCGGTAACGTTTAATAAACGGTTAACTAGTTGTGATGATGGTGGTGATACGAACAATGTTTTCGAACCTTGAAAAGGCTTTAAGGCGATTGTTTGTTGTATCACTATCGTTATGTTTAAAATATATGCACCTTCGCAACTTACAAGCCCATAGTAAACAGCGCGAAGCATTTTATGTCTCTTAGTGCTTTTCTTTGCTTGTTGGGTTCTGAAAGAAAATCGTCAACTAGCCAGAAACTAATATCCACTTTCACTTTTCTTCCTAGGACCAGATGCGAGATACACTCATTGGAAACAAACCGTGTTTTATCTCAATGATTATCTAACTGTCAAACATGGCGAACAAATCAATGGAACATTCGCTTTAAAGCAAAACTCCAGAAATAATGTGAGTGTATTGTAGAATTATATAATACCCTTACCCAGTGGTCGATTACCGTCGATATTATATACTTATACAGATATTTCACAGCACACTCCCTATATCAGGGCTTTTCAGTGACTGGTTACATTTCCCTATATCAGGGCTTTTCAGTGACTGGTTACATTATGAATAGATAGATAGAACCGGACTGACGTGAAGCAGACCGAGGTAGACTTTGAGCTTACAAATGGCGCTTGAGCAGCTGCCGCTGTTAGTCCATACCTCATTAATGATCTGCCTCCAGACCTATGTGCCTAACCCACTCTATCAACTTTCCCTGTGGGAGGAAACACGGGGTGCCCGGAGAAAACCCACGACTTTCGGCAGAGCGTTGACTTTTACTCTTTTCACATGAGGACTGGGTTCGAGTCACATTGAAACTTGTGAAAGATGTGAAACTATTTAGAACATTTTATTATACCAACTGATTTGTATTATTCAGGGTGCGATAATTGGCGTACCAACGTACCGGAGGTACGCCAATTTTATGGTCTGATACTTCTTTGTTTTTAGGCAAGTCCACGTAGGTACGCGGAAATTTGCTATTCGCGTATACTTACATTTTCCTTCTAGTAATAACTAGCAAACCTGCCAAAGTATTCAAAACCGTGAAGAACTTTACCTGTACATGTACATGTAAATTCCACGCATCTGACATATTTTGGGATGAAAAAAGCAAAAAGTTATCTTTGCCCTTGACCAAAAAATTTATCGTCGTCGTCCGACTGAAAAAAAAATCGCTCCGGTGAGCGATTTTAAAATCATCGTCAAACGCCGATAATTTTATCGTTTTCGTTGTAGTGTGGACACCAATCATCGCGTGTTTACAAGTTATCGTATCGTTATCGTTGGGCGTAAAATAAAATACCTGTGGTTCCGGTTCCCGACCGACCCTATTTTTTCTGCCGACCCTATTATTTTTTCAACGCGATTGACCGTGCGACCCTATTTTCGCCAGGTGGTTGCGGGCTGCTCATACAGCGTGCCAAAATGGCATCTGTTGTCCCACTAATTATTGAACCAAATCGCCTAAATTCGTCCATTGGAAATACGCATCTCTAGTTTAATATTGATGTCGGGACTCTACTGCAAATCGCCCAGCAAAATACCGCCAAAACGATGAAAAAAATATTTAAAAAAAAAATTATATTTTTTTCACGATATGAAGAACCACAGGTATTTTTTTACCCCTTGTGTGGGGTGACCTGGGCTTAATTGTCGATGCTATACCAAGGCCTAAAAAACTACCTGTGGTTCGACCCTATTTTTTTCTACTCACGCTATTATTTTTTTCAACAGGATTGACCGTGCGACCCTATTCTCTCCAGATGGTTGCGTGCTGCTCGCACAGCGTGCCAAAATGGCGTCTGTTGTCACAATAATATTGATGTCGGGACTCTACTGAATATCGCCTAGCAAAAAAAACGTCAAAATAATGGGGAAAATGTTCAAAAAAAATTTTTATTTCCGACCTATGAAACCGGAACCACAGGTTTTTTTAGGCCCAATGAGGAAAACTACACTGTATATAGCTGTGGTCAGACTGTTTGTACCCTCGGTAAATCCACTGTAAGTGAGCGATGGCATTCGAGTCACAACGTCGACGCTTTGAAAACTATTATATTATGTTGTACAGATACCATAATAAAAGACTCATTTGTACAAAATTGCCCATACATTTTTTGCTTTTGGACCAGTAAACTATACGTAGGTGTAAAAACGCATGACTCGGAAGTAGTCTCAGGTACGTCTTGACTCTTAAGTTTGTACCAGATCAGGTACGCGGCAAAAGTTGTCGGAGTACCAACCAGTCAGGTACGGCTAAAAATATTGAATTATCGCACCCTGATTATACCAACTGATTTGCGAGGAATTTATCAAACTAATTAATGTGTTTAATTTCTATTAGTCTCCCGTGGAAATATTGTGCACTGAGACAAAACGGAACATTAGTCCATTCAGACACGTTAGAATTCCCAACGACGTTGAAGCATCTCCGATTTTCAATTTTTCGACAATACTATTTCAATCCAACCCACTGACTTTCTCAATAATTTTCTAAAGCCTTTCAGTGATTGATAGAACTTTTATAGTAAGAATTACCACCAAAAACAGAAGAGAGATTTTTATTGTGTACATGCAAAACTATAACTGAAACTACATTGCTGAATATACATTGCTGCAATAAATTTGCACCCAATATTTCACAATGAAGCACAACTGTATTTTTATGCAAGGATTTGTATTTTGTACAGTTTAAAAAATAATATATAGAGAAAGTTTTATTTCTTTTTTCCAGCGTGATCTTGACTTCAACATTGCAGTGAAATTTGAAGGAGAGTTGAGCGAAGTTGAAGAAGAAACGAAGTATAAAATGAGATAAACTTTTTAAATCTGTCAATACTCTGTTCAAATGAGAAGATGAACGTCAACGAAGATATACGGGATGATACATGGTTATGGTGACATAAAGAGGACTAAAGCAATGTTGTTCAAGCCCTTGGCATGCAGTAAGAAACATTGTTGTGAAAACATTTGCTCCCCAAACATTTTTTACCAAATCTGATATTTAAAGTGCCTATATCACTTATTGGACTTTTATAGATTTGAAAAGAGTTTAAAAAGTTCGTCAATAAGTTCTAAAGCTTTTTTTGTTTAGTGGTTTAAACAACGGACTGTTCCTGAGTTGGAGCCTCCTGGGGTCTAAACACGGCTATTGAATTTGAATTTGGCCTTTTTCGGAAAAAAACTGTCCATTGTGCATAGGAGCCTGGGACTCAGGAAATGTAGATAGTTTAGAGGCCTGTATCTTCGAAATTATTGCACTAAATCAAAGAAATCTTTTGAACTTATTAACTAACTTTTTACGCTCTTTTCAAATCATAAAGGTCCACAAGTGATATAGGCACTTTAGTTGTTGCAGAAAGTGTTTCAGAATAGCCTGCGTGTTGTCTCGCGAGGTCTTTGCAAACGATGCAAGAGACATCGCTTCCGACAATGTCATAGGACTGCACACAGGCTTGTTTCCTATTTGTCATGCACCTTCGGGAAACATGACAAGGAACAGTGTTTTCACATTAGTGTTTCCTTCTGTGTCCAAGGCATTCAGCTGGTACTTTCAAGGTGAAAAAACTCCAGTATTTTTGGTACTTGAAACATCTTCGTTTTCGTACCTGCTCTATTCTCAAGGTTATTCTATAGTAATAAACCTTTACATTTTACGTACATTGTTCTGGATAGAGATAGATTGCTATTCTTAAGATGAATCTGTAGTAAAAATATAAATTACTGCATTTCAAAAATCATCACTTCTGTTAAGGGGTGTACAGTTAATTTCATAGTAAAGTTTCAAACCATCCTCTTTTTATTTCCTCGGTTTTCTTCAGTTTCAAAAATAGTTATATATTCTCACTGCTCGCTTCCCCCGCACAGTACCTTTAACACTGGGGGAATATTCGGATTGGGGATAAGTAGTTTTCAGCGGAAGGTAGAGTGCGGCGAAGCTAGCGCCGGAAGTGTCGCAACCGGGGGGAGATGGGTGGTTCCCGGAACATTTCAGCGCCGTCCTTCCTTTTCGGTGACAAGTGCTCAAAATATACCGATTTTGTGCTACTTTTATACTGTCTGACAATCACGTGGTGTATATCGATGACATGAATATTCAAGTTATATGGTATTGTGAGAGAAAACTCCCAGTAAGAATATTGATATATAAAATTTGGCTAACGTTTGAATATTTATACCTAATTGACAATGTTTCATAATTCACATGCCTATTTACTGTTCTAGTTTACAGAAGCTTAATATAGAACAAATTAGATAACTGCAGTAAGCTTTATAAGTAATATATATATATATATATATATATATATATATATATATATATATACTATTTAAAACACGAGTAGGAGTGTTTTATCAGATATAAAACGCGAGGCACAGGTGTCTGATAAAAGTCATAAAACACTCCTACTCGTGTTTTAAATAGTACTTAAAATACGACTACAAAAGAATTATACTAATTAAGATGAACCATTATATAATCATACTAATGAGGATGAACAATTATATAATGCCACATGCTTTATCAGATATAAAGTCACTCCACGTAACATATTATGGCTGACATGATTTGCCACAAGGTTTATGAATTATTCAGAATGAGTATGAACTGCAGCGGGATGTCCTCAGCATGGTCAATTAGATACTCTGTTGCTCAGGGCAGTGCATCGGCTCCTCGAATACCGCCATCACCAGTTGCTGCAATGGCTACTATTCGCTAGGAACTCCAGCAAGATGTTCCAGTTGCTGTTGAGCCTGATATGCTGCTAATTGAGGTTTTGTTTCATGTTTATTACTGATTTTTAATGCCGCAATGTCCGCTTGACTGCCCCTCCTATTTTGACGAGCGTACGTTTCGCTTCGTATTATAACGTTTTTAGTGTGAAGTTTCTTCGCAACTTCACAGTATTGTGAATTTGTGATGACTGGGGGGAAATTCAAACGATTCAGTCAG